TGCATGTGTGTTGGTTTGCAGACAATAGATTGTCAGTAACTATTTCCCTCCCCTTTCCTTATTTTTAACACCCAATTAAAGAGAAACTTCACTGCTAGAGTCTCTAATGGCAGAACTACAAATTGGGCAACAATCGAGGGTGATTCATAGTCCTGCTGAACGCCTTTGGCGGTGTCCCTCTGACACTACACCTGTACGCGTATTGCATGTAAGTGGATTGCAGTCAGTGGGCTGCTGTTGCCTGAGAAGAGGGCAGAAGTGAAGGTGCTGTCTCCATGTATTTTTTCCCTCCACTAGTGGCAAAATTAGCTGCTGCTACAGAAACTGGCAAACACGAGCCAGGGGCCCTAAGTAGAGCACCCTCAATGGCTTTTGTACACTAGCTCTGCAATGGACTAATGACCTGGAATAGTATTCTCGGGATTAACGTGCAAGTGAATGTTCTGGGCACTTCAGTTTGCCTCAAAGGGCCCACAGCGGTTGGTAGGCCCAAAGTCTGGGCCTGCTATATTTTTCTTTCTTTTGTTTCTTAATGAACAAAACCCACCTGCACTGGAGGGATCACAAGTGAAAGGAAACCGGTTTCGGTTCTGGACTTCCAAGGGTTTTTGTAAATGAGTTTTCAAGGGGAGAATATTAAGAGTCTTGTTAAACTACTCCATGTATTCCAATCCCAGTGAGTTTTCCCCAAGCAAACTGTATGACTGTAGTTTGGCGCTGGGGATCTTCAGCGTGATACCCCACACCTGCCTGACATAAATAATGCTGGGCTAAGGTGGCTAAAAGTAAGGAAAGCCTCCTGGTGTGTACTTGCAAACCCCCTCTAGATAACTAAATTTCAAATGCAGCCCTGCCCCAAGCCCCATTCAGTTTGTTCCCTGACCCCAGACACAGCCCTACTACAGAGGAGCTGGGAGCTATGCATCATAAATGGAAGAGTGACACACACACAGCATATTTTGGATTATGAATCTGTAGCTTTTTAAAAAATGGGAACGAGGGGAGACAATTTCACTTTCCATCAGAAATGATGGATGACTGCGCACAATCTTGGCATGAATTTGCCTCAAACCTGATCTACAGCAGAAGTGTCCTACTGCTTCCTAACGAGGTTGGAAACACACCGACAATGCTGTTGCTGGAGGAGGGACACTGTATCTCTTAATTAGAGCAGCGAGAAGCTTGCTGTCTGACGAGTGACTTTCAGGTATTTCTTTGCTTCTTCTGCCTCCTAGGCTGGAATGGTAAAACCTGAAGCATAAAGGTCACACTCTGTTGCTAGGCAGGTTGATTGGAGTCTTTCTCATATCTATCCAGGCACTTATATAGCATCTGAGCTGTATTTAAGTGTTGTGTATACACACCAACTACTGAACCAAATCCCTTTCTGTTACATTTCCACTGACTTCAAAACAATTACAAAGGTGGAAGACCAAACTATACAACTATACAATAGCTCCTGTCTCATCAATTATAAGAGGGTTTTGCAAGCATGTATGGTGCTTAACTTGCATAAACTAGAATATGCCTCCATCAGAGGATCTTGGTGTGCTACACTGGTAAAGAATTAATCCTCCCAACACTCTTGCTAGTTAAGTAAGCAGCGTTGTTTTACAGGCAGAGAGATTAAGTCACAAAGAGGTTAAAGGGCCTTGATTCTTTTTTTTCAGATGTTCTGATCTCTCACGGTTCCAGCTGAAGTTCATGACTATTGCTGGGTGTTCAGCATTTCTGAAAATTGGGTGCTGAGTGACTTGTCTCTGGCTATTCAGGAAGCTTGTGTTACATCTGGGAATAATCCCCAGACCTTCCGACTCCCAGTCAGTGCTGGAAGCACAGACGGTTTTGAATAGAATGTGAAAGCAGGTTGGGTCGAAGCGTGCACTTCTTTTAAATGCAGGGGTTGGAATCCAAGCCCTGTCTCATGCAGTTCTTGTCCTACACAGAAATGCAACAAAGACGCTCTTGAAAGTATCACAGTAAATTGCTCATGGGCCGAACACAAGAGACCTTTTAAAATTCAGCTTAGCCTGGTAACTGGAACAGCTGTGAAAGCCGCGATCTGCCAGCCCTTGGGTCTGGGGAGCACTTTGAACCTGGGGAGCCGTTGGAACACACACTGCCAGGCTGCTGATCATTTGCATCCCCTCTTAATACATTGTTGGGGGAAGGCCGCTTACTTTGCATGCTTCTGTTTCTTGGCTTCTAGGCATTCCAGGTAGTTAAAGGTCAACAAAAATATATTTAACTCTTGCTTGCAACCCTTGAAACTCTAAATGTCATTTCCACTACACATCTGAACCAGAACTACAAGAGGTGGGCGAGGCCTTGACAAAAGGAGCTGTTATGAGACAGACTTGACAGACTGCAGAGTCCTTTGAGCAGGCAGGGATGAAAGGAGCAATGAGGAGGGACTGGGGCTGCTTTTAAAGCTCAAATTTTGAGGGGAGGAGGGTGAAGATTGATGCCTTTTGAAGTTGAAGCCCTGCAGAGAGAGGGGGACAGTATAGCAGATGCTGAATGATTTGGTAGCTAAGGCTCTGGCCTGGGACAAGGTAGAGGGGCTCAGTTCCTTGCTCTGCCCCAGATGTCAAAGCACCTCCAGGTCGATAAGTCGTTGTTTTCAGTGCCCGGTCTTACTTGAGCTGAGAGTGGCTTTTAGGATGTGGACAGATATTTCCTCCGCTTGATTTAAGAGATACCTAGCAAGACCCATTTAAGGAGTCTGTAAATAGACTAGAGATGGGGACCCTGAGGCTTGGAGGGTGCAGAAGAGCCTCTGGCTGATGATTATTTAAGGTAACTTTCAGAAGTGACTTTGGTGCCTAAGGCTAATTGAAAGTCAGTGGGACTGATGCCCCTAAATTAGGCAGTTCTGAACAATGTTACCCTTAAATTAATAACATTTTTGGGTGTGTTCTTGTACAGGTGCCCAGAGCTTAAAATAGGCATGTTTTTAGCAACTGAATGCCACTGACTACTGAGTTTTGCAAATACTCTCAGAGTTAGTTAGCTTGTCCTGTCCCCACCCTGTGCTGTGTCTTGTCGTAGTCCTAGACTGTGAGTTCTCAGGGGCAGGGACAGTCTGTGTTTTACTTGTTTGTGCAGTTTCTAGCACAATGGAACTCTGATCGGGGTCTAGAGGCAGTACCTCAATAATCATATGTTAAAGGAGACACAGGAGTGACAAGGAAAAACTAGGGCCATTGTTAAAGAATGAATGTCACATCTACCTTGATCATTGTCCCATTTTTGAAGACCACATTGCTGGTTCCATAGAGGCCTGAGCAGGATTTGAACTCCTCCGGGAATTTGGAAGAGCTTGTATCTTTGGTTCAGTCTAGGTTGCCCGACTCTGATAGAAAATACTAGTGTAGTTACTATTATCATGGTTCTACTGAATCTGTTACTTCCTTCATAATGCCTGTCTGGCTTTTGCTGGGGCAAGGAGGTTGAGAATAACCCATTCATCGGGGGGTAGTAAGGATAACACCTCTGGCCTACTTTCTCATGATAATTCCATGTAGTTAGGAGTGAGAAGCTGCTAGCACTGAATTACTGTGTAAATAGCTGCTCCCTTCAATGTATTCTTCTAAACAGCCTTCTCCATTCCTAACACTGTTCCATAGGGCCTCATACTTGTATGCAGTGTACAAAGCCAAGACAGGGGACCGATGAAGAGGGCATTTTTAAGGCGGGAGAGAGCATTCCAAGGCAGTGCACATAACAAACTCTAGAAGAACAGCTGTCCATTTGGGATTTGATGCCTGACTTGGCTCTCACAAAGTTCCACATTTGGAGAGAACCATAGCCACATGCTGTCTTTAAATATTGCTCTATGTTCATGTTTATTTAGAAATAAGGCAAAAAAGCTACACTGCTAAACCAAGATTTCAATTTGAACTTGCAATCTGTGTGAACCAGGATTCCCTGGTGCCTTGCTTACATTGTGAGGCCTCAGAGGAAAGGCCAAACGCCATCAGCAGTCTGGGAAGTGTTGGTTTTCTGTATGTCCTTGATTACTGAGTCATGTTAGCCAGGATGGGAAATTAGCCAGGATGGGAAAGGAATGGTGTCCCTAGCCTCTGTTTGTCAGAGGGTGGTGCTGGACGGCAGGAGAGAGATCACTTGATCATTACCTGTTAGGTTCACTCCCTCTGGGGCACCTGGCATTGGTCACTGTCAGTAGACAGGATACTGGGCTGGATGGACCTTTGGTCTGCCCAGTATGGCCATTCGTATGTTCTTATGTTATTGTTAGAATGAAATGTGTCCCAGAACCTTACCTGCATCTTAGCTAGTGGTTCAGGGGCTGATTCTTCAAGAGCTCCTGGAATCCTTGATCTTTTTTTCCACCTACCGACTCCTTTAAGATAAATTTTAATTAGAACTGTCTCCAACCAAAAGCCCAAGATTTGAACACTTTGAACTTAATAGGAGTTTAGATCAACATTTGCATTTTGCCCTCAACCTCCACAATGGGCAAAACCAAGACTTTCCCTCCAAACACACCTGAGCTGGGGGGGGTTGAAATGCAGATCCCAATTCTGTGTCTCAGCACCACCTCCAATTCTGAGCTAAGTGCACGTTTCCTTCCCCCTTCCCCTTCCCTCACATAGGTGCTCCTTGTATGGAAATAGCTGCTGGTAATCCCTGGGAGCCCTAAAGGAGTACCAAGACCAAAGTCCGAAGAAGAGACTTGCATTGTTAAAGGGATATGCTCTCAGAAATGGATAACTTGCTCAACTCTGTGTGAAGTACTTGGCGCTTACATAGCATTTTCATCATCACACGTCATCTTCATGAATTAATCCTCGTAACGCCCATTGCAAGGAAGATATATGATAGTTTCCCATCCCCAGTTTGGGGATAATGAGGCAGAGATGAGGTTTTACCCCCCAAAACTACTAACTTACTTTTTTCTTTCAGGTGCACAATGGCTTTAACTTTTCTGATCTTCAAATGCTTAAATCTTCTTTTGTTTTTTTCCTTTTCCCCAGGAACTGGCGAACTCTGTCTACTTGGTTATGGAGGTGAGTAAGGCCTGGTCCACACTAACCCCCCACTTCGAACTAAGATACGCAACTTCAGCTACGTTAATAGCGTAGCTGAAGTCGAAGTACCTTAGTTCGAACTTACCGCGGGTCCACACGCGGCAGGCAGGCTCCCCCGTCGACTCCGCGTACTCCTCTCGCGGAGCAGGAGTACCGGCGTCGACGGCGAGTACTTCCGGGATCGATTTATCGCGTCTAGACAAGACGCAATAAATCGATCCCAGAAGATCGATTGCTTACCGCCGGACCCGGAGGTAAGTATAGACGAACCCTTATTCTGATACAGTGACAAAGCGGATAGACCTTTTATTTGGATAGGGCTTCCCTGTTTCATGGTCTAGTTGGAGCTCCTCTTGCTATCGAATCTGCAGGTGCACGTCCGTGAGGCTGAAGGGGGTGTGTGAAGCGCACTAAGTGTGACGGGTTGGATCACAGAAACCCCCTTGGGGCTGCCAACTGATGTGCCAAGACTACTACTGCCCCTGCTTTCCCTGCCAGCTTGGGATGCAGCACCCTGTCTTGTTGAGCCAGACACACCAGTCTGCTCCAACACAGACCCAGGGTCTGAACCACGTGCCCCAAGGCTGCAGACTTAACTGAAAGCAGCTTAAGAAGTGTACCTATCTTTAACACTCAGATGCCCAACTCCCAATGGGGTCCAAACCCCAAATAAATCCGTTTTACCTTGTATAAACTCATAAATTGTTCGCTCTCTATAATACTGAAGAGAGGTATGCACAGCTGTTTGCCCCCCTCCCCCAGGTATTAATACATACTCTGGGTTAATTAATAAGTAAAAAGTGATTTAATTAAATACAGAAAGTAGAATTTAAGTGGTTCCAAGTAATAGCAGACAGAACAAAGTGAACTACCAAGCAAAATAAAATAGAATGCGCAAGTCTGTCTAATACAGTAAGAAAACTGAATACAGATCAAAACCTCACCTCAGAGGAATTCCAGTAAGCTTCTTTTTACAGACAAGTCTCCTTCTAGTCTGGGTCCAGCAATCACTCACACACCCCCAGTAGTTACTGTCCTTTGTTCCAGTTTCTTTCAGGTATCTTTGGGGGGGTGGAGAGGCTATCTCTTTAGCCAGCTGAAGACAAAATGGAGGGGTCTCCCAGGGGTCTAAATAGACTTTCTCTTGGGGGTGGAGACCCCCTCCTCTCTCCTATTCAAAGTCCAGCTCCAAGATGGAGTTTTGGAGTCACGTAGACAAGTCACATGTCCATGCATGACTCAATTTTTACAGGCATCAGCCATTGTTTACATGCTACCCTGAACGTCCTTAGGTAGACTTCTTATGTGGATTGGAGCCTTCCAAGATTCATTGTCCTTTAAGTGTTTCTTGATTGGGCACTAATTTGCACATTCCTTTCTCGAGAAGCTGACCAAATGCTTTACTAAGGCTACTTAGAAATCAAGCAAGTACACAGCCAATATTCATAACTTCGAATACAACAATGACACATGCGTACAAATAGGATGAATAGATTCAGTAGATCATAACCTTTGCAGAGATATGTTACATGGCATATGTAGCATAAAACATATTCCAGTTATGTCATATATATACATTCATAAGCATATTTCCATGAAGCCTTATGAGGTGCACCGTCAAACTAAGTTCAAGCACAACAGAGCTCAAACACTAGGCTGTTTTTAATCTCCTTATTGCTGGAATGCCTGTTTAGCGCAGGCTTGACCTGGAAGACTTTTTATCTTGAAGGGGAATATATGTTACCACCTACTATTCACTAATGGGCAATTTCATGGAAAGAACAACTTCTCTACACGTTATAGTTGTAGAGCTGCCAAACCTTATATATACTCTTATGTTCTCTTCAAACTGAGATCTCATTGGATGTTTTCTTACTAGCGGGGGAGCATAATTGAGTGAGCTTTGAATACTTATTTGTAGTCACTCCCAGGTTCCTTTCCTGATCCCATGATATAAACATCATTATGGAGGGCTGGTCTACACTGTGGGTGGGGGGGGGATCGATCTAAGGTACGCAACTTCAGCTACGAGAATAACGTAGCTGAAGTTGACGTATCTTAGATCGATTTACTTTGGGTCCTCACGGCGCGGGATCGACGGCCGCGGCTCCCCCGTTGACTCTGCTTCCGCCTCTCGCTCTGGTGGAGTTCCGGAGTCGACGGGAAGCGCTTTCGGGGATCGATTTATCGTGTCTAAACAAGACGCGATAAATCGATCCCTGATAGATTGATTATTACCCGCCGATCCGGCGGGTAGTGAAGACGTACCCGGAGTTCCCATATTACTTAATTTGCTTCCTCTGTTCGTTAAATCTTTGCCACCCTGCCCAATGCTAACTTAAACTTTTGCTGTTCTCTTCTATTTCCAGTACTGCAATGGTGGTGACCTGGCTGATTACCTGCACAGTAAGTAAACCAAAGGGGAGGACATCCTTTATGTTTCAAAGGAGACATTTTGAATTTTTATTTGTTAGAGTTGTTGGAATTTGTGAAAGATAAGAACATAAGAATGACCATACCGGGTCACACCAATGGTCCATCTAGTCCAGTACCTGTCTTCCAACAGTGGCCAACACCAGACATTTCAGAGGAAGGAACAGAACAGGGCAATCATCAAGTGATCCATCCCCTGTCATCCAGTCCCAGCATCTGGAACCCAGAGTGTGGTTTTGCATCCCTGACCATCTTGGCTAATAGCTATTGATGGACCTATCCTCCATGAAGTTATCTAATTCTTTTTTGAATCCAGTTATAGTTTTGGCCTTCACAACATCCCCTGGCAATGAGTTCCACAGGTTGACCATGCATTGTGTGAAGAAGTACTTCCTTATGTTTGTTTTAAACCTGCTGCAAATTAATTTCATTAGGTGACCCCTGGTTCTTGTGTTATGTGAAGAGTGTGGATTTGATCCTTTCCCCATGAAACAAATATAGCATCATTGCTCTTCTTTTCCCTTTGCCAAGTGCTTCTTCATTGGTGAAGGTACATGTGCTTTGCAAATAGTAAGTCCATGGAAGCCAACTAGGATTGCTTGCGTGCTCTGCAATTTAGGTCAATAATGACTATTGGGAATGGGCTGCTGTCCGCAGTTACCCTGTTTAATCTATAAGGTCATTGTAATTAGACTGTTTATTTGAATTCCACCAATGGCTACAAGCTGCTTTAGGCGCAACTGGCATCTTGCTCATCAGCTGGAAAAAAAAATTGCAAACTTGTTTATACTGATGCCTTGCCTTTGCATAGTGTTTCATCTTCAAGGATCCCAAAGAAAGTTGGGTGTTCCTTTTTTAAACAAACATAGGCAAAATGCAGCCACCTCTGGGATGTAACACCCCATCTATTTAACAGCATATGGAACTACTACCCAACAGTACAGGGTCGGAAGTTAAGAACAGTGTGCATCCAATTGAAATGCCAGGGGAAATTTCGAGCCTGCACAGTGTAGAGTGATAAGTACAAACATTTAGAAACTGTTGTACAGCACAATAGTCAGATGTTTTTGACCTGTACGTGTTAATTAGCTTCAGGTTAGTGGTAGCGGCTGTATGTCCTCTTCTTTCCTTAGTTTAAGCTGAAAGTAACTTGTGATGCAGGGACTAAGACACTGATCCTACAAGCTGCTCTGCCAGTCCAGAGACCCACTGAGCAGCTTGCAGGATCGTGGCCTAAATGAACAACCCCTAGAACTCAAGGCTCCTATTGAAAGACAGACTGGAATGGGGTCTGAATGGAGAGAAGAGAGCCTGTTTCCTGGATGTTTAACTAGTAGCTTTGCTGGAGCTATGCTGGACTTAAAACTTATTGTCGTTTTTTAAGTATTTTGTTTTTGTCTTGCAGGCTGACTGAAAGATTAAAGCTGTCTCTTAGTATTTATTAATCTCTCTGTCTGTGTGGCTTTTGGGTCATGTTTAAACAAACCGTGCCAATCCAGGGTGGCTTCTGCATTTGTTGTTAACATTATGAGACGGTATTAAAATAATAGTAATAATAATCTTACTGGAGGCTTTTTATTTAAATGAGATGATGACTGGACACTGTGGAACTTGAAGGATTAAAAGCTAAATTCACATTTGCCTTGGAGCTAACTTCAGAGTCTCATGAATGATGAATTCAGGACTCCTGCTAATGTGCTCCAGCCCATTCATATGGGATAGCAAATGACATTTAAGGGACAGTTTCATGAGTGCCAAATTAATGTGTTTGTACTCTGGAGTTTTTTGCTGAATATAATTGGAACTTTTAATAATGGAGCACTTTAAAAATAGCCAAACCTTAGTTGATTTACTATGGCATTAAAATGGTTGAACTAGACTAACTACGAGCTGTGATCGGTAGCAATGAAATGGGGGTGCAGTTGGGGAGACAAGAGGTGAGGAGTGTCCTAAAAATTTAGGAGTCCATGGTTTCAAGCAGGGTCCTGAGCTATGTGCACAAGGCTTTGCTTGTATGCACAATTGCAAAGTGTTGTACACACAGATGGCTGCTTCTGCCCGTTTTGAAAATTTGACTTGTAGGGTGGGATTTTTTTGCAGCAACCTGGATGAGTTAGGAGCACAAGTCCCACTGAAAGCCAATGGGATTTGCGCTTCTACATCAGTAGGCAAATTGCACCCATGGTAGCTAACTTTTTTCAGTGTAGCTGACCTGAGCTCTAGAGCAATGGTTCTCAACCTCTGTGGACCCAGTTGTAAATCTTGATGGCCTGTTGTGACTTAGTAAATAGCTTTAGCACAAAAAACATCTGGCTTACTAAATATTTCTTACCCCTGATGCATAATATACACCATCCTGGCAGCTCCTGCGGTTCCACAGGGCTGGCTGGGCTCGGCTCAGCTCCCTGCACCAGGCATTGCAACCTGGTGTATGGGGTTGCAGCGCCACTCACTCAGATTTGGCCCAGCCATGCCCCTTCCCTTTTCCCCCCCCGGGTCTTCCACACAACCCTTTGACACGTTCTAGTGACCCAATTTTGGGTCACGACCCATGGGCTGAGAAACCCTGCTCTAGAGGGTAAACCACTGAGCTATGCGTCCGTGACTCAGAACCGCGCACGTGTATACAGAGACACCCCGACCCCCCCATTTGAACGTTAAGCTTCCAGCAGCGGTTTATAGAACATGCACCTACTTTTATCGCCACTCGGACGTGCACACCATGGCAGCACAAAAGTGGAGCACTCTATGCAATTAGGTTAGGCTGCTAATTAAACTCATTTGCTTGCTATCATGACTTGCTTTCTTTGCATCCAAAACTGACTATAATAAGGAGATTGGTAGTCACTTCTAGAAGGTGACGTTTAATTTTAGTTGCCCTTCAACCTCTTTGTTTTGGGAGCTTTAATGTCCAATGGGCTACTGGTTGCTGCTTTGATCCCTGGGTTACTCAAAGGTGGTTACGTTAGGCTTTTTCCTTCCCTAAAATTACTTTACTTTTGGTAGCTGTGAGGAGCAGCTACCAGGTACGAATAAATTGAAGGACATGTGTAGTCTTGCTTCTGACTCTTCAAATCTAGGCGACAATTATGAATAACAGTGGCTAATAAAACCTAAGTGAGCTGTGTGCACCAAAGGGAAAACCTCCTCACATGAACGCCATATGTTGAAAAAACTCCACTGATCCTTATCAAAACCTATTTTTAGAGAAATTTTTACCAGCAGATCCCGTCTCCAAATCACATAGGAGACGTCTTTTAGGGATGTATTCAAGCAATGCAGTGCTCGTACCTCAGTACCAGCAAACAGAAGTTTCAGATTAGTAGTTTTGCTCTTAAGAGTATTCCGGCTGCTTTAGCTTTTTTAAAACCTCTCTACCTCCTACCACCGTCTCCCAAGCTTCTCTGCTTGGTTTGGCATCCAGCCTTCAATGAACTTCCAGAATGAGTTTGCTAACAAGGAAATGAGGCATGGAATGTTCATATCTGTTGCCTCAGCAACGTCTGACCGGGCCCCTGTCCTATATCATGCTGGTTTGCCTGTTCCCTGCGAGGCTGTTTGATTTGGTGTTCTCTTATTGACCGGGTACAGTCACCTGTCATTTGTGTGCAGGCCCTTCACTGCCCTTCTTGATGTAGAATTTCTTCTTTTAAAGCTCGTCCCCCTGTTAAACATTTCTGAAAGTTCATGTTTCTTCCAGGGCGTTTCACTGAAGTGCAAAAACCCAAACAAACTTCTGCTCTATAGCCTGAATTTCCTGTTGTACGGAGCTGTTGTTTGACTGCTCTTTAATTGTGGCATCTCTTTTTCCCATCCATTCATGGAGTATTTCGGCAGGTAATTCCTGTTAATGCTAACGTGAGCTACACATGCAAATCCCCTTATCACTGGGAGAATAGGCTCTTAAACCTACTGATCCATTCTGCCCTCTAATTAAAAATGTTAGGCGATATTTTAATTCTCCATTGCATCCAAAGCAACTCTAATTCTCTACCATAAAGCAAAAGACGTATGTGTGTTCTTCAGTGTGAAATGTGTTGGTTTTGGTTTCCCCCTCATCTTCAGTCCTATCCCTTGGATATGTGGCCTGCTACGACTGCACTGCTTCCAGTGAACAGGAATTTGATTTCACTGTACGATGTGTCTTTCCTTTTGACAGCTCTGTGGACTTTGTCTTCAGTTGTAGCTCATCAGGTGCCATGTATCGAAGTGAGAGAGTACAGTACAGCTTTACATTGCGTGGTAGGTTAGCAGAGCAGTGGAAAGTGTCACACAAGTGATTGGTCTCAACTCAGGAGTAACTGGATGAAATTTTATGGCCTTTGTTTTGCAGAATGTCAGACTAGGTGATCTAATGGTCTCTTTTGGTCTCCAGCTCTGGGCATCTATTGGTAGAGAGGCAGGTAGTTGGAGGAGCCATCTTTGTGAAGAGAATTTCTCACCAGAGCAACGTGTATTTTTTTTTTTTTTAGATAGACCATGTTGTGTGAGAGCATGCGGGTTGAAAGGGGCGTGTAATAACTACTATAGGTTGAATTCTAACGAGTTAGGAAAGCTGCAAGAAGGACGCCCCTGAGTTCTTGGGCACCCCTTTGCAAAAGGGGGTGAGGCATTTCTCACCCGGGATTGAGAGCGGGGCCCCCACTGTCGGCCTTCCGTGGCTCCCACTGACAAAATTGCGGTGGAAGAGCATTGACTTTAATGGCCTTTGGATCAGGCCTGTATTGAGGACAGACCCAGCTGATACTCGTGGGTAAGATGAGATGTTACTCTTCCCTCCCCTCCCCCAATCCCAAATATCCTGTCCATAAAGTTGTCATGTCTAATTCAGTATGTCTGTGCTAGGGTCATCTGATACAGGCCTCTTGTGTTTGCTCTAGCTCACCTTGCAGCCTCACGGCAGGTAAAGCACTCCTTCCCCGTCCACAGAGTGCTGACCAGGGTGCTTCTAGGTGCTTTCAGCTTTTTCCAGCACTCTGTGAGCTTGGAGCCATGCGGGCCTCTGACTGACCTGCTGTAAATATTTGCTCTGTTCTACTGACCTGTCTAGCAGTCCCTGAGGCATTCAGCTGAGTGCCTTATTGCTTGTCGAGCCCACAAAAATAAACGCATGGATATGGTTGCTACTTAGGTATGGCAAAGCAAGGCTTGTGAAACAGTAGCATGGCCTTGCAGAGAACGCAGGCTAACGACAGGCTCAGGTTGGGGGGTGCCCAATCCCCATTGCATGTTTTAATACTTTGCCAGCTATGCTATGGTTAGGGCCCTACCAAATTCAGGGCCATGAAAAACACGTCACGGACCATGAAATCTGGCCTTTTGTGTGCTTTTACCCTACACTATACAGATTTCACAGAGGAGACCAAAGTTTCTCAAATTGGGGGTCGTGACCCAAAAGGGAGTTGCAGGGGGGGGGGTTACAAGGGTATTTTAGGGGGGGTCGCAGTATTGCCACCCTTACTTCTCTGCTGACTTCAGAGCTGGGCAGCCGGAGAGCGGCGGCTGTTGTCCAGGTGCCCAGTTCTGAAGACAGCACTCCACCAGCAGCAGCGCAGAAATAAGGGAGGCAATACATACCATGCCACCCTTACTTCTGCGCTGCTGCCTTCGGAGCTGGGAGGCCGGAGAGTGGCAGCTGCTGACTGAGTGCCCAGCTCTGCAGGCAGCAGCACAGATGTAAGGGGGGCAATACCGTACCATGCCATCCTTACTTCTACACTGCTGCTGGCAGTGGCTCTGCCTTCAGAGCTGGACTCCCGGCCAGCAGCTGCTGCTCTCCAGCTGCCCAGCTCTGAAGGCAGCGCCGCCACCAGCAGCAGCGCAGAAGTAAGGGTAGCAGTACCGCAACCCCACCTACAATAACCTTGTGCCTACCCCACAACTCCTTTTTGGTCAGGACCCCTACAATTACAACACCATGAAATTTCAGATTAAAATAGCGGAAATCATGAGATTTATTATTTTAAAAATCCTGTGACTGTGAAATTGACCAAAATGGACCGTGAATTTGGTAGGGCCCTAGCTATGGTGAAGATGAGCTAATGCTCCCTCTTTTTATAGGGACACTGGCACAAGTTCCTTGCTCAGGATGAGGATTTAACAGCAGAGAAATGTTAAATTGGATCATGCTCTACTTTGCTTGAATGGCCCATGCACTGGACATGTCTGCTGTGCTGTATCTTCTCCCTCCCTCTGCTTATGGGATACTGCCCTGGAGATCAGCCACTGGCTAACCTCAGCACATGACTGCCCTTCAGAAACCTTTCTGGTGGAATAGGGACAGTCCCAGTTTCCCTGATCTGTTAGCCCAGTAGGGCAAGAAAATCTTGCTAGACAGCTAGCGTGGGGACTAAACCAACTAGCCAGAGGGTAAATAGGGAAGTTACAACTGGGAAAACTACCAACGAAGGGGTATCAAGCATAGCTGCTGGGAGGTGGGAAGTTGCCCGGACTTAGGCCGTGTATTGTTTCTGCCTCTGGCTAGTGGGGTTCTGGAGACCCTTGCTGTAAGGGAAAAGGAGCTCTCTCTTCTCTCCTTCCAGCGACTCCTAAGAGAAGAGTGGAGCCAGCAGTGCAGCAAAAAGGGCCTTTGCCACTCTACCCCTCCAGAGCCTGCTGGCTGCTGCGTGGCGGGATGGGGGTGAGAGGTAAACGAGAGCTAGGAAAACTCTGTTTTTCTTTTCTCTCATGTTTTTTTGGGGTTTTTTTGCAGTGAGGAAAGCATTTTTTTTCCTTCCCAGCACTCCCCATATTGCAACACGTTCCCAACTGAGAGCGGCCGCGTGAAACTGACGTGACCCTTTTGTTTCGTTGCTGCCCACAGGGTTCTGAGTAGCAGCATCTGTGCAACGGACCTCAGTCTTGTATCAGTTTTATTCTGCTGCTGCTTCGTAGCTTTGCAGAGCGGCAGCAGATGCACTGGAGCAGCCTATCTGCCAGTTCAAGGCAACGGCCATGATTGGTTTACATACTTCCCATGTTTGGGAGGTTATATCATCACAAGCTTAAGAACTTGGCACTTAACTTTTGTTTAAGTGAAAGCTTTTAGTGATGATGGTCCCTGTTCCAAAAGTTCTGTAGTAGATTATTGGGGTCAGTGTTGCCTGTTCAGAAGACCTGATGCTGTGGTTGTAGACATGTTAATCATGACTTCTAATCAGCTAAGGTGTTGGGAGGAAGGGTGGTCCAGTGATTAGGACACTAACCTGGCCCTTGGGAGACCTGGGTTGAACTCTCAGCTCCACCACAGACGTTCTGTGTGATCCTGGGCAAGTCACCTAGTTTCTTTGGGTCTCTGTTCCCTCATCTGCTAAACTGAGGTAATAGCACAGGATGTTGTGTTCATTAAAGATTGTGAGGTGATCAGATACTGTGGTGATGGGAGCCATATCAAAGTACCATGGATGGATGGATAGATACCATGAGGAACAGTCTATTCAAGAGAACTGGCATGGAGGAGAATGTAGCCAGTGTTGCTGGACATACTAGACCTGTCTTTTCGCTGGTATAAATCAACATGGCTCCATTGAAATAAACGGAGTATTACCCTAATGTACACCAGGTGCGGATCTCCCCCTTCATGCTCCTGAGAGTATGTGATGTTAAAGATGAGACCATGCTTTTCATGTAAGATGCTGTCAGGATTAGTTGGACTAAAATTTCAAGATGCCTTTGTAACAATTGGTATATTCCATTCACCAAGACTCCACGTCAAGAGCAGGTGTCTTGTAAATTCCAATAGAGTGCTGGCTTATGAGAACAGAACCCAGTGGGGGAAGAGAAGCTCTGCATATCTGTACGTTGGCGTTACATGTATGAAGCAATGAGGAGCTGGTTGACTGAGTGACATTTTAGGTATGCTAGCTGTGAGTCTCCCTGTGAAGATTTGGGAGTTGGGATGGGAGTTTGTTTTCTATTCTAAATGCAGTTCAGTCAGCCCACATTTCATGCTGTTTTAAAGTAAAATATTTAATTTCCTGTGTTGGGCTAAAACTGCTTGTGCCCTGCTCTGTGTTTTCTTAAGGATTCCTCCAGTTTAGCTGAGAAGGTAGAATAGTGTTTTGATGCTCTTGCCAATATGGTTTAAGGCCTTACCAGAGAACAGCTGGAGCAACATGAAAATGGAGCCCCCAATAATTACTGGGGCATTTATGAGAGAGATGATTGTATTCAAGTGAAATGTATTTCTTTGAACCTTATTTGTTCTTGAATGTTAGCATCCACCCAGGAAGGCGTCACACAGTATTGCTATTGAGATTTGTTCTGTGTTCAGTGGGCCAGATCCCGCCTTTGGTAGGTGTGTCTTACAGATGTGCTTGTAAAGGTGTGGGGAAAGATGATTCATAAAATAGCTGGGGTTAATTTTGGATCAACCTCATTAGATATGGGATTCCGTTTAGCTTCTTGATCCTTTCAGTATTTCTTTGTTTTAAAATCAAAAGGTCCCAGAAAGCCTGCCTCCCAGGAGAATGCAGTTAGCTGCATCACATTTAAAGAACTTGATTAATTTAAAAAAAAAACTTTTGTTGATGAGAGCTATTTATATTCAGTCTCCTCCCTGTTGATACATACTGTTACAGGGCCAGATCCTCCGCTGGTGTAAATTGTTGCATCTTCACCATAGTCAATGGAGCTGCCACTGAAGTCAGTGATGTTATGCTGATTTATAGTAGCTGAGGATCTGGCGCACGGTTCTTTGCATCATTTCAGATATGGAGGAGAATGCAGTTTAGTCACCAATACTTTAAGGGATGCTCTTCAAGAACCAATTTAAAAACAAGCCCCATGTAGTTACTTTCTCACTGAGTAGCTTGAGGGAGCGTTGGACGTGCTCGATCCAGAGTTATCCTTGTTCATCTCTGTGGAGAAGCTGCCTTCTGCTTTGCTTAGTGATGGCTGGTGTTACAATCGTTCTGTCTGTTTCTCCTTCCAGCTATGCGGACGCTTAGCGAGGATACCATCAGGCTCTTTCTCCAGCAGATAGCAGGTGCCATGAAAATGCTACACAGCAAAGGTATCATCCACCGGGATTTGAAACCACAGAATATCCTCCTTTCTTATGCTGGAGGCAAGAAGTCAAATCCTAACAACATTCGTATAAAGATTGGTAAGAACCTTTCCTTATATCCTGCTTTCGGAAACACTTGCATGGGAACGACCAACATGGCTTTGGAAATGGCTAACTAGCCAATCCAGACTGCTGCAACTGGATAAGAAACAAATGAACTGATCATGGGGGAATTAGGATTAGTTTTTCACTATTGCAGTGGAATGTCTTGAAAGCTGTCCAGATCAGATCCTCAGCTGGTGTGCATCAGTGTAGAGCTGTTGACGTCAGTGGAGTTGTGCTAGCTCACACCAACTGAATGTCTGTCGTGTCCGTCCCCGTCCCGTCCCCCCCCATATCCATTTGTTTTGTTTCTTACCCTTGTTCCAAAAGAAGCGGATGCTGATCAGCACTGTGCTCCGCTGGATAACCATTGTGGTTAAGTCTTAGGGTACGTCTACACTACCCGCCGGATCGGCGGGTAGCGATCGATCTATCGGGGATTGATTTATCGCGTGTAGTGTAGACGCGATAAATTGATCCCCGCTCGCTCTCCCGTCGACTGCTGAACTCCAGCTCGGCGAGAGGCAGAAGCAAAGTCGACAGGGGGGCGGCGGCCGTCGATCCCACACCGCGAGGACGCGAAGTAAGTGATTCTAAGTCGATCTAAGATGCGTTGACTTCAGCTACGCTATTCTTGCAGCTGAAGTTGCATATCTTAGATCGATTTCCCCCTCCGCCCTCCAGTGTAGATCAGGCCTTAAATTCTAGTGCATCAGCTGCCTCCACCCAAGCTCCCCAGGATGTTTAAATGAAATCATGGGTAGTCATGTGGATTATATATAGTTTGACTTCCTGGCCTAAGGATGGGTATTCAGATATGGAGGCTTTCATCTCTCAGGCTCTGTCTAGATTAGGAGAATAGCTAGCTCATTTTTAAACATGACCTAACCTGTTTTAACTAGCAAGTCTTTTGTTTTTATACATGACCTATTTTGCTACTCTAGTGATGACCTGGATCGTTAGTTCCAATCCATCCCTGGTAGTTAGTGAGTGACAGAGTTCTTATGCTCTGGCTGTTCTGTGACATATGCAAAATGAATTGGGTGGACTCAGTCCAGTTACAAGTTGAGAGGTGTCTTTCTCAGAAAAAACAGTCATTCAGTTTCCTCCCTGGGCAACAGTTGTCTAGGCAGTGAGCTTGATTTGTCCTGGCCTTTTAAAACAGAGGTGGGGCATGCTGGCAGAGTGGGGTGGGAGAGGTAGGGAATTTTGGTGTCCCAAGACTGCGATCCCTACATACTTCGTGAACGCTGAGCTCTGATTTAAAAAACAGCACATGTGATGGCTGCCATCTTGGCTGACACCAGGAATTGAATCAGAAACCTCCAGAGCTAAAAATGTCAGTTTACAGCTTGAGCTAAAGAACCAGGTTGGATGTGATGGACCCACATCCTCTGTGGATCAAGCACAGAGGGGGACATGTAACATACGCTGATTGACGGGTTATACGAACACACGCCAGAAACCCAGTTATTGAACCCAAGGTCTCTCTTAAAGGAGAGCTGTGTAGTCACATCTTGATTCATGGACATTTGTTGGACTATACTGCAAGTTGACCAAGTTGACTCTGACACCAATTAAATTACACCATGCTCTGTTTCAACTCTGTCTTGTGGAGAAAGCGTGAGTGGCTTTTGGCTGACAAATGAAGTCTGATGGAGAATGAGGTCTGCTGGAGGTCTGTGTGAAACTTTGCAGCCGCTCAGCTGTAGCTGAAGCGTTCTCCAGAATTCAAGCATGGATGGAAAGTAGACGTGTCTAATGACCCACAGGCACATAAAAAGGGAGGGCCATCTAAACAGCAGTCCTAGCTAGTGTGTGCTGCATTAGTCTTAGTTCGTGGTAACCTTCACGCACACTGCTGTTTAACCACCCCTTTTCCTTAAGAAGGACAGTGTGTGGTCCAGGAATGGGACTAGTCAGACATAATATCATTCTAATGACAGATGGCGATATAAACAGCCATGTCAAATATTGCTTGAAATATCTGGTAACCTTAAGGGAACCTCTAAGCATCATATGATCAGATGCTGAGTAACCTGCAGCTGTCAATCCTTTTAGCGTTGATAGACCCTGGCTTTTCTAGGGTGAGCTAATGGCTCAGCTTTTTGTTTTATATATACATGCTCAGTGGAAAGCCAGTGCTCTAGCAATGTCTTGGTATCACAAATGATACATAAATAGTGTCATGCAGCTTCAAATGAGCATGTTCCAAAGATACAGATGGTGCTGGGTGTTTGTTACATTGTGGTGCAACCCTGCCTCCTGCCCTATGTCATGGAGTGTAACTACCACTTCCCCAAATCTGAAGTAGCAGCAAGAAATGAGGGAAAAGCTATCGAGCTATGCTGGGCCTTCACTGCATTCATAAATCTCAGACTAGATTAGGGTGACCAGATGTCCCGATTTTTGGGTCTTTTTCTTATATAGGCTCCTATTACCCCCCACCCGATTTTTCACACTTGCTGTCTGGTCACCCTAGACTAGATGCTCAGCTAATGTAAAGAGGCATAGCTCCATTGCAGTCAATAGAGGCTTCCCAGTTTCCACCGGCTGAGAATCTGGCCACTGGATTCCACCTGGAAAGAACAAACACTGAACAATAGACACAGGAAAAATAGTGACTGCAGGCACCTTTACGTGAATTGGGATTCATTCCTTTTCATATAGAATGCTTTTTATAGCTGCATTTTCTCAACCCTTTCTGTTGTATGGAACATGTAATAATAGTGAGAGAAACTTGGGTTAGCTCGGGGATAGAACACAAGTTCTGTATTCAAAATGGGGGACGTCCCTTGTATCGAGGGGCCACAGAGAAACAGGAGGGCCCACGCTGGGGATTGAGGCAACCGAAGAAAGGTTGGGCTTCTCTAGAACTAGTGAACGAACTTCTTTTCTTTGTATTTGTAGCTGATTTTGGATTTGCCCGATACCTGCAAAGCAACATGATGGCAGCAACGCTGTGCGGCTCCCCTATGTACATGGTAAGTGCACTCTGCTTATGTATTGTATAGGCTGGTCTTCCTGACATGTGGAATCTGCAATGGTTATTTAGTTTATACCATTCAAAGCTCTGTGCAACCATTAAGCCTAATTCTTCCTTTCCTCCTAGACCTCCTCCCAAGACCTGAATTTTGTGTTCTTAAAGCTGTTGTTGTAAGTGAAACCCTAGTGGGGTTTCTGATTCTCTGAGTGGCAAGATGGCAAACATCTATGCTGCTGTGCTGACATCTGCCTTTCAGGCAACCGTTGGTAAATAATAATAGACTATTGATTGACCCCACTCAGAAATTGCCTCTTCCAGATAGGAAGCAGGGCCCTTCAGCTAAGGCATTGGGACCTAAAATCCAGTGTTATCCCTTGACTGCAGGCTGAGTAGCAAAGATGCAAACTAGGAATAGGAATGACGTTGCAGCCATAAAGCCTTTTCCGAGGTGCTGCCTTGATAAAGGGCCTCTTGGACAAAGTGTCCTCTCTTCCATTGCTCTCTGTTCCCAGTGTTGAGAGACAGTGGCCCTCTGTTTGTAATTCAGCCAGCCCGTGGTGTACCTGCTCTATATCTTGATTGGGCTATATGGATACATTTTTTTCTGGTGTGATATGTGAACATAGAATCATAGAAATGCAGGGCTGGAAGGGTCCTTGAGAGTCATCAAGTTCAGCCCTCGGTACTGTGGCAGGACCAAGTAACCCTAGACCATCCCTGACAGGTGTTCATCCAACCTGCTTTTAAAAACCTCTGATGATGGGGATTCCCCAACCTTGGTAGCCTATTCCAGTGGTTAGCTACTCTTACAGTTAGAAAGCTTTTCCTCATGTCTAACCTAAATCTCCCTTGCTGCAGATTAAGCCCTTTATTTCTTGTCCTACCTTCAGTGGACTTTGAGAACAATTGATCACAGTCCTCTTTATAACAGCCCTTAACGTAGTGGAAGACTCTTAACAAGTCCCCACTCAGTCATCTTTTCTCAAGATTAAACATGCCCAGTTTTTTAACCTTTTCTCAGAGGTCAAGTTTTTTAAACCTTTTATATTTATGTTGCTCTCCTCTGGAGATCTTTCCTAAAGTGTTGTGCCCAGAACTGGACACGGTTTTTCAGCAGTGAATAGAGCAGGACAGTTACCTCCTGCGTCTTACATATGACATTCTTGTTAATACATCCCAGAATTATATTAATCTTTTTCGCAGCTGCATCACATTGTTGACTCGTATTCAATTTGTGATCCTCTATAACCCCCAGATCCTTTTCAGCAGCACTACCATTTAGCCAGTTATTCTCCATTTTGTAGTTGTGCATTTGATTTTTAATTCCTAAGTGAAGTACATTGCACTTGTCTTTATTGAGTTTCATCTTGTTAAATTCAGACCAATTCTCCAGTTTGTCAAGCTCATTTTAAATTCTAATCCTGTCCTCCAAAATGCTTGCAATCATCACAGCAGCTTGATCCCATCTGCAGATTTTATAACCACACTCTCCACTCCATTATCCAAGTCATTAATGAAAATACTGAATAATACCGGACCTGCGATTGATCTCTGTGATCACTAGATATGTCCCCCAAGTTTGATAACTAGTCTTTGAGTACATTTTTCAACCAGTTGTGCACCCACCATATAGTAATTTCATCTAGACCACATTTTCCTAGTTTGCAAATGAGAATGTCATGGGGGACTGTGTATATCACTAGGCCAGTAACCCTGTCAAAGTAGGAATTAGGTTCGCTTGGCATAATTTGTTCTTGACAAATCCATGCTGGTTATTCTATATAACACTATTATCTTCCAGGTGCTTACAAACTGATTGTTTAATCATTTGTTTGAGTATCTTTCCAGGTATCGAAGTTAGGTTGACTGGTCTATAATTCCATGTGTCCTCTTTGTTCCCCCTTTTTAAAGAAAGGTACTATGTTTGCCCTGCCCCAGTCTTCTGGGACCTCACCCATCCTCCATGAGTTCCCAAAGATAATTGCTAATGGTTCTGAGATTGCTTCAGCTAGGTCCTTAAGTACCCTAGGATGAATTTCATCAGGCCCTGCCAACTTGAATATATCAAACTTGTCTAAATATTCTTTAACCTGTTCTTTCCCTTTTGGGGCTTGGATTCCTTCCCCCTTGTTAATATTAATCGTGCTGAGTAACTGATACCATTAACCTTTTTAGAGACGACTGTAGCAAAATAGGCATTAAACACCTCAGGATTCTTTGTCATCGGTTATTAGCTCTGCTTCCCCCCCCAAGTAGAGGACCTACACTTTCCTTTATCTTTCTCTGGCTCCTGATGTATTTGAAGAACCTTTTTTTATTGCTTTTTATGTCCCTTGCTAGGTGTAATTCATTTTGCGCCTTAGTCTATCTGATTTTGTTCCTACATGCTTGTGCTATTTGTTTGTTTCTTCTTAGCAATTTGTCCATGTTTTCACTTTTTTGTAGGATTCCTTTTTTATGTTTCAGGTCATTAAAGATCTCCTGATGGAGCCATATTGCCTCTTACTATTCTTTCTATCTTTCCTTCGTGTCAGGATAGTCTTCAGTTGTGCCTTTAATATTGTCTCCTTGAGAAACTGCCAGCTCTCCTGAACTTCTTTTTCTTTTAGATGTTCTTCCCACAGGATATTTCCTACCAGTTTTCTGGTTTGTCAAAGTTTGCTTTGTCCTTTATTCTGCCGATCTCACTCCTTCCTTTCCTTAGAATCGTGAAATCTATCATTTCATAATCACTTTCACCCAAATTGCCTTCCACCTGCATACTTGTTATCAATTCCTCCCTGTTAGTCAGAATCAAGTCTAAAATGGCTGTTTCTCTGGTTACTTCCTCCACTTTCCAGAACGAAAAGTTGTGGACAATACATTCCAAGAACTTATTGGAAATTTTGTGTTTTGCCGTATTACTTTCCCAACAGATGACTAGGTAGTTAAGTCTCCCATTACTACCAGATCTTGTGTTTTGGATATTTGTTATTCTAGAAATGCCTCATCCGTCTTCTTCTCCTGATTTGGTAGTTCATCGTAGATCAATACCGTGACGGCACCCCTGTTGTCTTTACCAAGAGACTCTCAAATGGTCTGCCTCTCGCCACTTTCTGGGCCTCAGAACAAGTGTATATATTCTTGATGTATAATGAAACACCTCCCTTTTTGTATCCTGCCTGCCCTTTCTGATCAAATATCTCCCTCTATACAAATATTCCAGTCGTGAAACTTATCCCACCAAGTCCTGTGATGCCAGTTAAGTCATAATTGGACTTATGTACTAATACTTCCAGTTCTTCCTGTTTATTCCCTATACATTTGTGTAGAGACATCTCCTCGCTGTCAGTAAGAGTTGTGCCTCATTAGTAGAGGGATAAAGCGGGACTGATGGAAGAATTGTAGCCTACAAATCTTGATTAGAAACCTCTCCTGCATCAGGCTGAGCTTCAGAGCAGGCTACTGAGATAGGTGACACCTGCTTTCAAACAAAGGAGACCTTTCTAATATGTGTTTACAACATTGGCCAGAGGAGGTTGTACGATAGCAGAGAGGCTTGTGACTAGTCAAGAATGTAGGGCTATGTTAGGAAGCTGGCATGATGCCTGCACCTCACTGCTTTCCAAATCACCCTCGCTGTTGTCACAAGCACTAAAATTAAACTCCAAACTAGAGAGATTTCGGGTTATAAATATCTGGGTATCTGCTCTCGTGACCCATCTCTCAAACAGAGAGGTGAATTTTCAGCTTTCCATATGTGACCTGAACAATATACCCCTACAGTCATTAAACCTGCTGCTAAATATATTTCACAGCCTAACCTAATTCTAAAACAATGGCTGTAAATGGAGTCCGCCCGGCTTCTCTTGCGATCCACATCTACTTCGTGCCTTGGTCAAGCCAGTTGCCAGAAGGATATTTGCTTAGACTGAAACCAGACATGCTAAAAAAAAACACCCCACACACAACCCATAGCGATGAAATGTAAAGTGGTAATTGCTTGTTCGTGTGCATGGAGTCAACTGGTATAAAATAACTTCAGTGTATCACTCACACCAGGGTAGCAAAATTAAAAATGACCAAACCAGGCCTTCAATCTGGTCCGTGTGATTGCTCTGCAAGATGGGTGTGTTCGATTAATTGAAAAGTCAATGCTCTCCCATTAATTCAGACTGGGGTTTTCAAAGGTGAGATGGAGAATTAGACCTGGTCTGCACTCCAAAGGTAGGTTGGCTTAACTAAGTTGCTCAGGGCTGTGCGATGTAGTGAAGTCAACCTAAGCCCCGGTGGTGACACCGCTAGGTCGAGGGAAGAATTCTTCTGCTGACCTAGTTACTGCCTCTGGGAGAGGTGGATTTATTACAGGGATAAAAAAAACCCTTTCGTCACTGTAGTGTCTATGGTGCAGCTGGGCCGCTGCTGTGTTTTTTATCATAGACGTTGCCTGAGATGGCCAACTCTCATTGAATTTCAATGTGGTTTAAGTGCCTACTTTCCTTAAGCTCCTTTTAAAACCCCCAGCCTGAGCCTTCGTCCTGGCACAGGACTCGGCTGCATTACACAGTGGCCTTTAGCTCCACTGTGTTTAAAACTGCATCTGTCGGTGCAAACCAAAGCGAGCCTGACTTCCTCTCGCTTTATTGTTGAAGCCAGTTGTTTGTTGACATGCTGTATATAAGGGTGATGTAACCTCTTTCCTCTTGAGAAACTTTCCTGAACTGTCTATTTTTAGTGACGCTTTTTCTTTTACGTTCTCTTTAAAGTAGATCAGATATCTGGCTCACTTTTAAAGTGAGAGGGACTATTTTTTTTGTAAGTACTCTGGGAATTCCTTTTGGGTTTAAAAAGTTCCATGTTCTTGATTTAAAGGTGATTTTTTGGGGGAGGTGGGTGGGTGTGTTAAGTTCTGAGTAAAATGTGTTCTGATTTCTGGGAGGCATTCAGGGGTTTACTCTGCTGCTGTTGTGGGTCCCTGTGTGTGTATGGTGAGCGACAGATAGCAGGGGTGGCCTCTGCATTCCCTATCCGCGTGTCCTCATGCATGCACATAGCCAGCCCTACTTTCTTGCCTTGCCACAGTAGGAGGAATGCTATGTCAGTGTGAGAGTGCAGCAAAGGGGGGCTGTGTGTCTGACCCCTCACGAAATCTGGGTCCTCACCCAGAATGGTTCTGAGCATCCACATCTGCCATTGACAACCGTTTCCTTGACTCTGTTTGGTGCTGAGGCAGGGTTAACCAGCTCCTGTCCGTGCATTGTTCAGAGTGGGGTGTTTTTGTTTTGTCCCCTCTCCTCCCAATGCCACCCTCAGCCCAAATGGAACAAATCTTTTCTTGGCCTTTGCTTGTGGCACAGCTAGGAAACTGATCCCCTTTCAGTCCTGTCTCCTGTGAGCGTTAGAGGAAGTCTCTTTTATAAATATAGGTTTTAAGCTAGCCTGTCCTTCTCCCACCTTCACCTCCACACAGATCCAGAGGCACATTGCATTCTGAGCTATTGATCATTCTGAATCTATGCTATCTTTAGCTTCTGGAGCAAACCTGCAGTGAGGAGTGGGGTGCATTTTGTGGAAGGTTCCAGACCACAGAGATTGTGGGGAAGCAAGGTGGGGACTGACCTCTTTTTGGATAAACACATGGGCCTACTTTTGAACTCAAGTCCCATCCACTGACATGACTACTGCCACATGTCACAGCTGCCTGCTTGGATTAGCCTCTTAAGAAATCCATGGAGCGGGAAGGGCTGAGTTACCTGTACCAACTGGATCCTTTGTTTGTCGTGGCTGTAACTGGTAACGTTGGGACTTGAACTGGAGTGTGTGTGCGTGTGCAGTTGCTTTGTTTTAGAAGAGATGCCTGTGCTGCTCCAAAGGGACTCCTTTGTTTGCAAGTTGATTCAATAGAGATTGTAATGCCTGAGAAGGGGATGCACTGTTTTTTGCTTACAATGCCTCAGGCAGAAGTAAAGCGGGCAGTGCCTAAAGTAAAACCATGCCTCAAGTAACCAGATTAGCGTTATGAAACCGCCTCCTTGCTAATATGAACGCAGCACTTTAAAGCAGGGGAAAAAATCTTTAATCCCTTTTCTTTGGTGGAATCTTGGCCTGGTGCTTTTTTTTAAAAATTAGGGGCTTCTGTTTCTCTGGTAGCTGCCAAGAAAAGAGCCGAGCCTTTTTAAACAAAACTCTGTGTTCTCTCTCCACGCAGGCCCCAGAAGTCATTATGTCCCAACACTATGACGCTAAAGCTGACCTTTGGAGCATAGGAACCATCATTTACCAGTGTCTGACAGGAAAGGCTCCCTTCCAGGTGAGTGGCTCTATGGCTATTAATGCTTGATGAGTTTCTTGCTGTTTTTCATCCGTTTTACCCACGCCAGGGGTCACCTACAATACTGAGCCCGAGGAACCCAGTCTCCAGGGAAGTCAGCCTGTCTGTCTGTCCATCCCACTGAGCAAGATAAGCTCCTTAATTCTCAAGTCAATGGGATGCTCCCATCTTTTTCAGTGCTGCAAATACCGGTGGAGGCCGATGCTTCTTCTCCAGAGTCTGCCTCAGGGCAGCGGTGGAAATATATCCCCATGTGCGTGTGTTCTTGTGAAAGACCATCTTTTCAGAAGGTTGTCTTGGACCCTGAAAGCAATGATATCCCCAGCAGCTTGCTTTAAAATCAGTTTCCCTTTATGACTGTTCACAGGGAATAATATGTTTTCTGTTGGGCTTGAGGGTGTAGGGACAATAAGGAAGGGAAATATTATGGCTGATTGGCATGACTCTGGTTTGAAACGGTGCATTGTAGCTGAAATAGCCTGGCTTCTGGAGTAGAGTAGGAAAGTCTTATTGGAGAAGTCTTCTGTGTAAATATTGGGTTTTTTTCAAGGCCAGAAAAGGGACCATTATGATCTAGTCTGACCGTCTGCATCTAACACAGGCCTTAGAATTCCACCCAACGTGCCCATAACTTCTGGTTAAACTAAAGCCTATCTTTAAGAAAGACACCCACGCTTGATTTAAAGGTGTCAAGCGATGAAGAATCTAGCACATCCCTAGGTGAATTGTTCCACTAGTTAATTACCCACACTGTTCACCTTGTTTCCATTCTGAATGTATCTAGCTTCAGCTTCCAGTTTTCTCCTCCCAAGCACCAGTTGCTCACATATGGTTATATACCCCTTTCCATGGCATTCATACAGCCTTAAAACCTTTCCCTAGCACGATCACCGCCTTTCTAGCCAGGGGAGCACTGACAAGGGACTTCCTTTTGGAGCCTATGCATTTGAGTTGATGGGTGCATTGGCAGAATGATGTGCAATTAGCTTCCTGCTTTTCAGAGGATATTTCTACACTGCAGCCGGGAGGTGAGACTGCAGCATGTGTAGGCATAGCCCCAGAGTGCACAGGAATATGGTATGAACCCAGTCCCTACCTCTGTGGTTAGACTGCTATTTTTAGCAAGGTCTGCCTACACCTGCGGAAACTGCACCTCCCAACTGCAGTGTAGACCTACCCAGAGTCTCCGTGTGTGGGCTTCCGTCTCTTTTTAACCCAGGAAGCAAGAGGCCAAGAATCAACCAGGGTTTTCTGCGAATCAATACAGAGTGACATGGGAACACCTGACATGAAAACTTCAGTTCTTCTCATCAGATATGAATTGATCTGAAGTGTTGGGGGGGGGGGGGGGGGGGGGGGCCTAAATTTTGAAACCCTGATCACTGTTGCAGTGGCCATTGAAATCTGATTCTCCCCTCCACCCCCCAAATCCATCCTAATGACTGACTCACTGAAAATGAAGATAACTAGAAGAAAATTCTGCAGTAACATAAGCCCAGTTTTATGAGCTGCTGGATTCTCTGGTTTAGATTCAGAGCTTTCATAATTTAAAGTGAGATCTCGAATATTTATGAAGCTATGTAACCGGGAAGGATAAGGTGATTTACAAGCCGGTTAGAAATCTTACAGGAAGGAGTGGTTGGGTATAGCAGTAAATCGAGGCTTTTATTTTGGTGTGGTCTCAGTGCTGAGGGCATGTTTTCCTTTCTAGATGCCAGAGTTATTTTTTCATCTCAGTGTAGGGATCTTCTCTGACAATACTTTCTGGTCTGCCCACCTTGCTCTGTAACGAAAGCGAGCCTTCATCTTCCCTGCGGGTGTAATTTTTGTTTTGACAGTATCTCCTATGGTCTGCATGAAATTTTTGACTGTTTCATAGTTGCTGGTTACGTTTTCTTGTTCTCGGTCTCAGCAACTTTGTTTAATGGGGAAGGGGAAAGAAAGAACTGTTAGAAGAAAAGAAAAGAAAGATTGTGTGTTTATTTAAAATAAAGCTGTGTGTATATACACACCAAAGCTTTGACTCACACACATAAATGAGCTCCTTGCCCACTATTAAAGGACCTCAAAGCTCCACACAAACTACTGATTTAAATTTCCCTGACTTTGTGGGCCAAAGCAGGCATTGTGTAGGCATTCTGCGCTCACATGCAACCTTGGGACAGCTGACTTCTTTGCAAAGCCTGAGGTATGACCATTATTATTATTCAGTGACAAATGCCTTTTTAACTACATGGAAATTTTCCTGTGACGATATTCTGTTGAGAAAATTGTCATGGGAAATATGTTTCCCAGCCTGCTGTACTCAACTCTGCCAGCCTGGGGCTGGGGGTGGGGCTCTGGGTAGGGGGAAGGGCAGAGTCCAAGCTCTTTCTATTGTTCTGCCCTCTTACTTATGTGGAGATGAGGCAGCCCCCAGCAGTGCTGTGTGATCAGCGATCTGGGTAGCTTGCATAGGGAAATAAGGGGTCACCTAACTCCTTGGCATGAGAAGAGTAACTTCAGAAGATCTTGATTGGAATGAGTGTTTTTCTTTAGTGGGTACATGTTGCACATCTGTCTTGATTTCCTTGCCTCTAGCTTTTGGGGGTTGTGCTTTGGCAACAAAATACTGAGCCCTGTTTTGTTACTACAGTAACCATTACGAATCTGTTTGATCTGGGAGAAAGCAAAGCCCAGTCCAGATGGTCCTCTGAGTATGTGTGTGTGTTGAGATCGTGTGTTTACACTTAAGGCAGAGGTTACCAACTGCTTTTCCCAGGTTGTAAGTTCTAGGCAAATGAAGCCTGCCTGTGGCAGATGCTGGGAGAGCTAGTTAAACGTTAAAGGAGTTTATTCCCTCATTTGCACCAGTGGAGGCTTTGCAAGAGGTGCTGCAACAGCTGAAGGTCTTGGAGTTGATAATAATCAATTGTGCAAAGAGGCTGGGAGAGTGGGGGGTGCATGGAATGCAAATGTTGGTAGGTGCAGACTGGACAAAGCGGGGTTCGGTTTTGACATTTCTGAGCGGATTGTAGAGCAGCAAAATTAGCACAGAGAGGGGAGGTGGCTAGGGTGCCCAGACCCACCTGGACAGATCAGCCAAGGAAAGAAGGGAAAGAGGCAGCTGCATCCCTCCAGCACTCGTAAAGGTGCCTGCTTTCTACTGTCCATCTGAGACCTCTTGGGGTGTGCCTTGAGTGCAGCTTGACATAACCCAAATGCAGAACAGAGAAACTCTGACTGGACGAGCCTGTTAGTCCAGAGTCCTTCCTCTGGCAATGGCCAGTGCCTGATGTTTCAGAGGAATCCAACCCCCTCTTCCTGTCCCAAACCTGGCTGGGTCCAGTGGGAGATGGTGGCTGCCCCTCAGCAGTGATCCATTTCCTGTTGATTTTGCTGTCTCAGAGAGCAAGGTCCCTTTGCGTTTCACCCTTCTGGGTCGAAGTTTGTTTGTCGGCCAAGGTAGCTTATTTAGCCAGTGCCTGGGGAGGAGGACACTTGCACGTCTGGTTAAGATTTTGTTAGATTCCTCAAGCCGAGCCAGAGAATGGCAGACTGCCCTTTCCCCTGGTGCAATGGAATACGGGATCCATCCCCTCCGACTTCTGCCTGCTTTTCACCTGTCATGAGCATCTGGAGAGGCTCGCAGGGGTGATGTGCACGAGAAAGGTTGTCCTCAGCAAGAAGATGAGTCTTTAAATGTACAATAGACTTCAAGGGACTTGGGTAGATGGAATAAGGAGTTGTTAGCACGTCTGGAAAGGCTGGGTCCAACTGTCTTGCCTTTCTGTTAGGGAAATGTAACCTGCCAAATCAAGGCAGAAGAGGGTGGGTGGGTTTTCTTCTTCTTTATGGTAGAAATGAAAATGAACAGCAGCCAGGTCACCTGATCCAACTTCCCTGACATCACCATTCCTCTCCCCACCCACCCCACACACCATGTCTGATTGTCAGACCTGGACAGTTGGTAGCGTGACTGTCCAAACTGTCCTAAGGAGCTGTGTATATTAAACATGTCCATAAACAAAACAAGGAGCCTGCCAGAGGGGTGAGATTAAGAGGATGCATAATCCCTATTGACACATTTGCTGAGCATTGTATTAATGTTGCATTGTTAATAGGCCTGGCCTAACGAATGAGGTGGTGGTCCAGAATTGTGGCTTTTCTGCCTTATGTGACTGAGGGCTTGCACTTTGTGTTCCCTGCTCTTGCTGTTTTATTTGTGTATGTTACAGTAACATCTAGAAACTCCAACAGAGATCAGAGCCCTTTTGTGCTGTGCCCTGGAGAAATACGTAGACACAGTCTCTCCCTAAAGACCTTACAGACCGAATAGGCAAGGCAGACTGGGAGGAGGGGAGAACAGGCACAGAGTGGAAGAGATTTGCCTGGGGACACGGCAGGTCATTGGCAGAGCTAGGAATAGAATCCCAAACTCCTGAGTTCCAGTCCGGTGGCTTGTCTGTTAGACTGGGGATAGAGCTCGAACCAGGCACAAGAGTTAAAAAATCACATGATTCCTTACGGTCTTGATTTATTTGTAAGACTTGGTCAGGTCATACAGTCTTGATTTAATTTTTCAGAGGAGCAAGTACCACTGATGCCTCTAATAATCAGGGTGCAGAGTGTCTGTGTGTCTGTGTGTAGGGGGGTTTATGGTTTATGATGCAACTTTTTTAAAGCTTTCAGTGGTACCATCTGCATCCAGCCGATGTAAGATCTTTCCAGGGGAGCCCAGTACCTGGCTATTCACTGTGCTAGGTATTGTCAAGAATCCTCTGTCTGACAGTGGAATGTGCCTATGAGAGAGAGAGAGAGGTGTCAGAGAATGGCAATAGTTCAAACACTTAAAAGTGCTGGTCTGCCAGCTCTAAAAGAGTTAAACTGTCTGTGTGTGTTCTCATCCCAGCTAGCTGCTAGATGAAAAATTAATTTCCAAGCCTGATGCACTGAGCCTGCTGCGCTATTCTTTCCCAGTTAATTCTGCCTAGATAAGTACTAGGATTATGTGCCATTTATAACAACCATAAGGGATTTACACTGTGAAATGAACCTTCAGTGCCACTGATGAAGGAAGGTTTTTAGACCTGGAACTTGAACAAGACTTTTGTTTGGAAAGCAGGCTGGTTTTATAGCCCCAAACTGAGTTAGCCAGAGCCAGTCCTGTATTGTTAGGGATGAGAAATTCCTTTTCTAGACTTGCTGCTGGTTTTTGCAGGATTTGGGGAAACAGTACTGATTTAAACGCACACCAGAAGCAGCAGGTTGTGACTAGATGACAACCAGTTCGTCAGCTAGGGGAAGAGCATGAGAATGACTGTATAGGCTGGTGCTTAGCATGCTCACGTAGGATGTGGGAGGTCCAGATTCAAGTACCTGCTCCAACGACTGATTATTTATACACAGTAGAACAGGAGAGACCTGCTGAAATGTAGGAGACCCAAGTTGAGATCTCTTCTCCATTGAATTGAACCTGGGTGTCTCTCGTCCCAGAAGAGTACCCTATCCACTGGGCTAAAGGTGATCTGCCCGCTTCCCTCCCCCAGTGTTTTGTGAATCTAGTCCTCCCTGGTTTTTGTCAAAGTGCCTGAAATCAAAACAAAATGGGTTAGTCGAAAGGAAAGGTTCAGACTCTTATTTTTTTAACTTTTGAGTTCATCGCAACGTTTTGGTTTTGGTTTGACCTGAAACAAAACTTATTTTCAGTTTTTCAGAATTGCCAGCAAATGGAAACAGTCATTATTTGCCCAGCTGTACCTGTGAATTTCTATTCTTGCGGGGGAGGGGAGGGCAGTATATTAGCCCCAAAAAGCATGGGATAGTTAGTGCAGTCAATAGGTTGTTGACGTCCGAGTGCTCCCAACAGTGTGCAGCCTTGATCAGCACTGCCTGTGTAGCAAGATGGTTATTGTAGGTCTAGTCTTAGCTTACTCCTCGGAGTGGGGCTGGATGGCTCAGTTGATTAGTAATGGGGTTACACTAAGATGAAGGCCTGTCTGGGCCATTAGTGATCAGAAGTGTCATCTGAGGGGGTTTGGTGGCCAGTGTGAACTGGGTTGGGTAGTGTCAGTCCTTTTCCCAGCAGACACATGGTTACATCGTAGTTACCAATGCTGCAGTAAGGGCCCTCTTGGGCAGCTCCAGCTAAGAGACCAAGGTTTAGTTGGGCAGGGATTAAACCACCCTTCCACTTCTAGATGTGCTGCCTCCAGAACCGGTGAGAAGCACATCGCTAAGCCAGTGTGGGGGAAACTTGCAGTAAAACCTGTTCAGAAAATAAATGCAAGACTCCCTTCTCCAAACCTACCCATCCAAACTTTTCATAATCCCTAAACTGCCTTTTTATTAAATTTTAAAATGGGGGAGTTTTATTAAAGGGTTTTATTTGTGCTCAGAAAACATGCTCCCAATTAACTTGCACTTTAAAGACATGCTCCTTTGATATACTGCAGCTGTTACTTCTAGGAAGCTTCTGACAAAATGTTTGAAATAGATCAGAGATTCATTGTTTGTCTAAAACAATTGAGCTGTTGAACCAGGGAGTGAATAAAGAAGACAGCCAATCCTTGTATCTCTTGCTGACATGAATATGCACTTAACCTGATCACTGTGGAACTGTATTCCTACTTGTAGGGTTCTGTGCATGCGTGTGCCCATAGCATTGCTGCCAAGCTCTTCTGTGCCTTGTGTGCCCTGGCTTGTTTGAAATTGGACGAACAATGAGATGCGGATTGCAGAGCGGGATCCATGTGGGGAAGGGTTAAAAAATGCAGGTTTATACTGAAGTAAATCAGGTTAGATTGCCAGGCTTGGAAACGCCGTCACATGGATTCTCTTCTGCGATGCAGCCACCTCTGCTGAACAGGGGGTCGCTTAACATTTTTGTGAAACTGGAAAACGGAGCATATTGCTGCGACCCAGTTTTGTCCCACCTCTTTCCATGAAATAACGAGGGATAAGCTGCCGCAGAAAGGAAATCTAGGACAGCTTTCTTGTTCCACTGAAAGAGAAGCTCTACTTCCCTTTAGGAAGCTGTGTGTGTGCATGAGCGCATGTGTGAGCTTAGAAACAATAGCTTTGTCACGAACTCTGAGCAGCTGAAGTTTTGCAGCCCACTAAGGGCCAGAAGTCAACTTATCTCCCATTGACTTCACTCAGCTTTCGATTTGTCCCAGTAGCTGTCGTTAGCTGAGTTTTCACCTTCAGGCCTGCAGGCGCCGTTTGAAACAGGGGCGGCATAATGTGAAGTGCTGGCTAAACACAATGGCAAAACAACCATGCGACTGCTTGTCCGGCCTCTAAGCGTGCTGCAGCAGTGACCGTTCACACCTGTCCGTGGTCCGGTTTGCCTGCATTGCCCCCGCTGGCTCCTTAAGCATCTTAGTTGACCTGAAATGCTTCCAATTCAGAAATGGAACTGGATGGGAGGAAGAGCTCAAGGTCTTTTGGTAAATCTGCCTGGTTCTCTGCTGATCCCCAGGGTCTGGACAAACTGCCTGTGACCTCCCAGTGCCTCCCACCTTTTGCAAACAGTGCATCCTGCAGCAGTGATCGGGCCAGAGCATGACTCTTTCCCTTCTCTCTTCCCCGTTCCCACTCTCCTCCATGTCTGTGGTTTGCATGCCAGCCAGCCCCCACTGCTTTCCATTAGAGACCATTGGTCTAGGCTGAAAGCTTCTGCACACTAAGAACACTCTCAGGGCAATTTACAGGTCCTGTATTATTTAGTTCATAAAAAACCAAACAAAAGAGGAACAGCATGAGGAGGCTGTATGGGACTTTGCTTATTTCCTGGAGACTTTATTTTTAACCTTGGACGCTAACCTCTCGTAGTGGGTTGCTTTATTTTTTTTAAGTCTTGTCTCTCCCAGAATTTGATTTCTTTATGATCATGACCAGAAACTGTCTCCCATCAGCGATAACAGCTGGAGCTTGAGAACTGCTGGCAAAAGACTCTAGGGTCTGGTTGTCTTGATGTTTCCCTGTTTCTCAAGAGAACTGGAGTTCTCCACTGATGCCTTTCACATCAACAACCTCCCTGCCCCCTTTCTTAAGACCCCGAAGCACTAATCCATGTTCTCTGCGGGAGCTGCCATTCATCATTTGGGACTCCTGGCGTCTGCAATTATATAGCCTCCTGGGAGAGGCTATTAGGGCAGCTTAGAACTGAGCTGCAGAACTCATGGACATGAAGCTGAGCCTTCAGAAAAGGAGAGGAAACTAGAATCAGGTCAGGGACAAAAATACAGAAGGCTGAAATACTGTATTTTCAGTCCACGCCGCAGTCTGGGTATTGCAGTCTGCAGGGTCTCCTGAAATCGAAACTGCTTTCAGTGCTAGTTCAGCAGTAGGAAAGCAACCGCAGTACACTTCAAAGCAATTGTGAAATAGGTTACAATCATAATAATTCCCCTCCCTGCGTTATTGCAAGCTGCTCTAGACATGTTTTCTTTCTTCTCCATAGGCCAGCAGCCCTCAAGATCTTCGTCTCTTCTATGAGAAAAACAAGATGCTGATGCCCAAGTAAGCATTCTTCCAGCATTACTATTTTTTTCCACTTGCTTACTCTGTCTGTATTTACACCTGTCCTCTTGTGCCATCAGCTCATCATGTTGGGGATATGACTTAAATGTTTGGCCACCTGCCTCTACATTCCTTAACCAGCAGCAATGTGGTCCAGAGAGTGTCAAGCTGCTGCTAGATTGCCCGAATTGGCTCTGTCTCCTCCCACATACACCCATTTCACTGCAGCATGCACCCTAGAACATGCTTGGTATGGAAGCTGCCCTGCTGGCGTTTTGCAAGCGATTTCCAAGGGCCTTGTTCCCCATGTGCAAGTTGGCCTTCCTGTGTCAGGTACTACCTCCTGGGTTCAAGAGCGAGCAGCCATGGTTTTCCCCCTTGCAAGCTCTTCCCAAGGTAGCATCGAATACTGCAGGCTCTCCCAGCAGCACCAATCCTGTAACACTCATTCACTGCATGTAGGTCACATACCCAGTTTCCCACGTGCCAGGAAAGCCACTTCCCGAGCCTGTAGCCCTTTCAGAGGGAAATACAGAGCTGGGTGATGTGGCATGTGATGTGGCCCCGGGCATGTGGAAATGGTTGCAATTCCCAGGGTGTGTGTCAGGAGAGCAGCGCTTTCATCCCGGAGTGGTATGAACTCACTGCTGGAATAATGAGGTTGCTGACTCAGAGTGCTTTTTTTTTTTTTTTTCAATGGGTGGGAGCTTTTATTTTGATGCTGTGCTCTTAAATGAGAGCCATGCTGTCTCCTCTAGAAACCTCCCTCAGTCTTTCTAGAGATGGACTTAAACCCACACTCCAGATCCTCTGAACCGTGGGAAAAATTGGATCCCAACTTGGGAAGCTCAAACCCAGGATGACATTTAACTGAGGTGGGGGACAAAAGAAAAGTGACTGCACATAAACTGTCCTGTCAGATCTGACGTCATACCCTGAGCTGCTAGACGGAATTGGTGCAGAGGGTGTATAGCTTAATAGTGTGTATAACTTTGTAGGGTGTGAGTTCATTGTGTCAGGGTGCGTATGGTTTGCTTATCTGCTAAAGCAGCCACAAAAGGTAGTGCATTGGGAAGTCAAGAAATCAAAGCTTTATAAATCCAGAACGATGCACAACGTGCTTGAATTTCTTAGTTTTGCTTTCTTTTTTTGTGACGAAAATGATGTTTGTGATCAAAGCGTTGAACCTTGTGAGCCCTGCCCCCTCCTTGTGCTCGAAGCCCAAGGGATCATGGGAGTCAGAACAGCCTTATGGTGAGAGGAGCCCATGGCAGAAAGTGAAGCAGATGCGCCCTCCCCGCTCACCCCTAAAAATAAATCCATGTTCCCCTATGAATCTGTACATTTTTAATGGCTGGGAAATATAATCGCTTCCAGGAAAAGCCTTTTTCCACCAGTAGGGCCATTCTGCCCTGGCAGCATTCTGAATTGCTGAGCGCTCGGAAGCAGGCAGTCAGTGATTAAAAATGAAACCGGGTAATGATCAAGTGAGAGAGAGAGAGGTTGGCCATCCTGATTTATCAGCGCTGCATTTGAATTAACAAGGCCCTGCTTAAAAACAGACCCACAGCCCTTGTGTTACTGTTTTTCTTCCAACTCATGGATGTTGGAGAGTGTCTTCATAATGTGTGCCACAGTCTGTGCCGTTTCTTGAGTAAACCTGGATAAAACAGCCTTCTCAGCCTGGCTAGTGAAACCCCAAACCACCCAAGAGCCCTCGCCCTCATCTGCCTGGGCAGTGCCAGGCTCTGGTTACATTCTCCTCGGGGCTAATCAGCCGGGCACACCTGTTCCCCATCCACTGGCATAGTCACCAGAGAAGAAATGTAGTTTGGTTGGGGCGGGGGAGAGGGGGGAGAAGGCTCATTAAACTCTCAGTAGAAATCTCTGTTCCTCACGAGCTGACATGACTGCGGATGGGTAAAATGCCACTCTGGGGCGGGAAGCTCGCACCAGGAGCAGCAAGCCAGATGGCCTCGTTATTTTATTGTAATTTAGTACTGGTCAAAATAACTAACATTCATCACCTGGATTTGCACAGTGAGTTAACACGCTCTGGGTGGGGTGTGGAGGAAGAATTGTTTTTATTGTTCATGTTAATTCGCTTGGCCGAGGCCTTGGAAAAACAACGCTGTAGGGGAGCCAAGCTTGTAACTTCTGAGAGGCAGGGCATAAGGCGGCAGAGGGGATATCTACACCTGGAGCTGGGGGTGTGATTCCCAAGGGGAGGAGCCTTGCCCACCCTGGCTCTGATCCAGCTAGCACACTGAGAACGGAGCGTAGCCGCAGTAGGGCAAGTGGGGTACGTGCCTAGCATCTCGAATGGGTATGTACTTGGGGCAGCTAGCCCTTCGTGCCACTGCAGCTACAGTCTATTTTTAGCCCACTACCTCTATCCGAGCTAGCGTGGGCATGTCTCCTCCAGCTGGTTGTTATGCTCTCAGCTCAACCTGTGCATGTACCCTGCCATCTGACCTTAGGCATTGCACTTAACCTGCCTGATTTTTTGACTGTAAAACTACATAAAAGCTGAACCTTGCTAGAAAAAGGAAGCTGTGTCTTGGAGGAGCTCTTTCTGTTACCCATCACCTATGTGCAATGAATGAATAAATTTACCACCACAGTACTCGGGGACTGCAGTCCATAAGCACTGTCGTTCTTGGGCTACTTCTATAGTGTGTTTCCAGGGGTACCACTTTCTGACAACTACCTTGAACACCACATTGTCTTGGCTGTGACCATGTGTAGCCTCAGTTTAATATTCGGGTCTGTCTACACTGCAGTTGTGGGCTGTGATTGCGGCTCATGTAGGTGTACCTGAGCTAGCTGAATATAGCTACGTTGGGTCAAGGAGCAGTGAAGTCATGGCAGCATGGGCTTTTAAGGCAGGCTTTGCAAGCCTACCCAGGATCCAGGGTAACTACTCCTGAGGCTAGCCTGTGCTGCAGTTCTCTCTACTGCAGCTTTGCTGGGTCTGGGACCTGTGCTGGCTACCTTAAAATTAGATCAGCTATGCCTACATCTTTTGCAATCATACCCCGTGATTGCAGCGTAAACATATCCTTAGATGCATCTTCTCTGGGGGTCCAGATACCCTGCTCTGGGCAGGCATTTATTAATGTTTTGTGCCTGAGAGAGATTGCAAAACACCTCTTTCTGCACAAACAAGGCTGGTGTGATGCTTGCAGAGATTGTGTTCTAGGAATAGCTGGGTCCGAATTCCTCTGTGAGAGAGGCCCAGGGCTTCGCAGAAAAAATAACTGACTAGTTTCAGAGCCTTCCAATATAGATCTTGCCTAACGGCTTCTGTTTCACTCTTGACTGAGCAAGACTGTGTTAATGCTCGCCAGCACTCTCCCCTCCGGCCCCAGCCGCTCTCCTTTCACTTTGTTTTCATTCATATCTACGCCGGGGACGGGGAAGGTGGAACTAGTGCAGAATTGGCAGGCAGGGGTAAATAGGTATCTGCTCCCCCTCTCAAAGTTAAGCTTGTTGCCTGCCTGTCATGGGGGGGTCGACCCTGCTCTGCAGAGGTAGGCTGGAGCAAGCTGTGTGTTCCACGACAGCTGTTGGCTGTGGGCTCTGTGCAGTTACAATCCCTGTGCAGATGGCGCATGGCATTACCTTAGCTGACCCCCACGAGGGGAGGGAGAGGAGGCTGTTCGACTGCCGGGATGGTGCTGTGCCCAGCTGTGATAAACGGAGCTAATGCGGACAGAGCCTGGATCTGCCTACATCTCATTCGGAGAGCTCTGCTCTCTCTGGGGGCAGGTCTCAGCCATTATTCCCCAGCACGGTCCTTCCTAGTCGCTGAGGGAAATCAACAAAAGACCTATCCACTCATGCAAAAGCTGAATTACCTTTTCCCCTCCCTAATACATACAGTGATTCTACGCTCTTCGCAGTGCGTCTGTGTATCAAGAACTTGGCCCCAGGCCTCTAAGCTCAACACCCACCACCTTGGGGGGTAGCAGGGGTTGATTGATTTGCTTCTGTGTGCTGTGACTGCCCTTAAAAAAATGGACATAACACACCTTTTTTCCCCCAGGCATTTGCCTTTATCCCACTTTTCTTTTTACTTACTGTGGAGAAATACTGCATTAATTTTAACTCCTTGTAGGTGGCAAAGGCCCAGATTTTGGGGCACCCACTGTAAATACTATTGAACGGGTCTTTTTTTTTTAAGGGCGGATGCTGGTCTTATGTAAACTATCTGTGTCTTTTAACATAAAAATGTAATGAAATCAGTAGTAAATTGGTAACGCTGATCTCTGGGACCCATTGTGGTTTTTAATAGGAAGCTTCCATCGAATAAAGTGCTCCCTCTTGGTGATCTATTTTATTTACTCTGTGCTATATGTTGTACATGAAATAGAAACCACTGAGAACCCAAACTGATCACTATAAAATCATTCTCAAAAGCAAGGCTCTGCAGATGCTCATGGAAGAGGTCTTTAAACTTAGAGTAGCCAGAGCTTTAACACTAGCAAAACAGGGATTTGGGCGTGAGAGCCACTGGGACAAAAATAAAGTGGTTTCCTCATTCAGTTCCTCTGCAGTGGGCGTGCATTCTGTTTCTAGCCCAGCAGGTGCGAGGTGATGTTTGTAGTTTGCATTAGCTCATATTTAAGAGCTGTTAAAGGTGTCCGTAAGTTTAACTTTTGTTTTGAACTGTCTAAAAATCCTAGCATCCCTAGGGAGACATCCAGCCACCTGAGGCAGCTGCTACTGGGTCTTCTGCGGCGCAGTCATAAGGACCGCATGGACTTCGGTAAGAGAGTCACCTGTTCTAGTGATTGAGACAAAATGAATGAAAACGGTGTCTGTGTTGGCTCCACCTTTTTAGTATCGTTACACTCCAGGTCTCTGTGGGTTTGCTGATGTTACATCGTGCACTGGATAGAACACCAGGCAGTTCCAGCTGCCCGAGGGTCAACATGATCCTTGGATTTTATTCCAGCTGGATGTGCGAACTGCAAAGATCAGTGCTGACCCCAGTTGGCTTTGAACTCTTGCATCAGATTTCCGTTCCCGTTATCGGTGCTGAATGCCACCTGCCTTCCCTCATGGACACCCACTCCCAGCAGTCCGACCTTCAACTTTTGCAACCTGTTTTGTGTCTGCCAAAATGACGTGACAGATGAACATCTATCTGTGTCCTTGTCACAGTGCGTTAGTCCGCCACTAGTCTGCATGCACCACCTCACCTCCGGTTCCTCTCCTGTGCCCGCTGCAACTCACATGCCACATGCAATATGTATGACAGGTGATCCATTCTCCCCTCCACCCGTGAAGCCAGCACAAGAAACCTCAACCTGCTTATCAGTTCCTTCCCTTGTCAGCAGGGTTTTCACAGAACTGTCCATCTTCCCTTCCCAGGGCTTGTATGGCCCTTCCAGCCCTCACCCTCAGAGTGTCACTGGCACGTCCTACTCCCTGCAGATATCTCTGCCTGGCTGGCTTGGAGAGCCTGCGTCTAGGTCCTTCATCACAGGTGCCACTTCCAGCCAATCCTGCTCCTGTGACCTGTGATGCTTACTCCGATCAGGGCTTCACACAGGGCTCCTTGATCCCATGTTTCAGGGGAAAACAAGGCACAGGTACCCAAAGTCCCTGAAAGGGGCCAGCTCCCCTTCTGACAGTTCTGTTTGATCTGTTTCCACCCAGAGCACAGCTGGCAGCTAAACCCTTTTCAACGGGGTAGAAGACAGAAGAAGAAAAACGTACCTCAGAGAGGGTTTGGGGCACTATAGAATGCATTCTTACGCAGGGTGGGGAGCAAAGAATAAAGAAAATTAAAAGCTATGTTTTCATTGTCACAATGCCAGTATCCAAATAGATCCATTTCATCTACCAGCCTCTTGGTCCTGGCCCCGTGCAAGCCTGTTTAAGTGGCTTCCCTGAAACTAATCTCCTGGAATAGAAGCCATGTTTCATCTTTGTGCTAAATATTAATGTAGTGTGATGCAAAGTGAATGGTTACATATGCCTTTGCCTTGCTAGCGCCAGTTGCCCTCGGAATGAAGTGGAATGTGTGGCTAGCCACGTGGCTGCACCTGCTGTACGTGGCTGCGTTTCTGAAACATTGTTGCTCTTTGTCTAGGCTTCAGATAGAAGTGCTTGATTTTAGAATTGGCCAAGTGGGTTTCCCTGGTGGACAGCATGCTGTCAGTCCCAGTTAATGCAAATTGGTTTGCTGTCTCAGTTGTTCTCGGAGGGGAGCTATCGGTGAAACCTTTCCTTGTATCCCCTGATATCTGGATAAAACTTGTGTATGGATTAACTGGGACTGAACGTAATTACGCCACCCTGGTCATAAAAGTTGGGATGTGGAGCAGGATGCATAGATTAGCGGAAATGTGCGTTTTCAAAGGAGTGCTAACCAATATTACAGATAGACTGCTCAGAGCCTGTTCAATGGTTGCGTATGGGTCTTCGGTTGAGAGTGGAATTCACCTGGTGCGGTGGGTCTCAACCTTTTCCAGCGACCTCGTGTTACAAAAGAAAATAAGTGGGGGATCCCCTTCCCATCTAGCGATGAGCTGAATGGCCATAACCACCTGCCCCCAGACTGCTTCATGATCCGCTGGGGGTAGTGACCTTCAGCTCTAGAAAGCAGGTGTTAGTAGCGTCTAGCACTGAGGAGATCTGGGGCAATATGCTTAGATTGCATTGGGAATAATAGCCATGACAGTTGCAACAGATTCTACTGGTTTATGGTTGCTGCCTGGTTCTTATTACTGTGTGTGGGTTTGTTTTTTTTTCTTAAGTGACATTCATATAAGATTCACCCCTTTCTGGGATGGAGTCGCCTATATTCTGTCCATAAGCCTCAGCCAAGCCACTCCTTTATCAGCTGCTTTGCTGTGACTCTAATTCACACATCTTGATGCCACTGGCCATGCCAGAATGCTGCCAATCAGTCAGGAGAGAGCCAGGCCATGATTTATTGAGAACAGTGTACGTCTGATTCTTTGTTCCTCTCCTCGCTGGCCTAAGTCTTCCCTCCCACTGAGAGCGTTTTGAGCTCTCTCTCTACTTGTGACAAAACTACCCCACCGTCTTCTCTTTCCAGGCTCTCCTTTCCAATGCCAAGCCTTGGACTCTTCTTCAGTCTGTTTTCTATTGGACACACATGGACTGAATGGGTCTATTGGCTCCTCCCTTTGCCTCTCCGATTTTGGTATTAAAAAAACCAAAATCCCTGTTGCTTTCACAGCAAGTGGATACAAAAGTAGGTATTTTATAAGGGAAGGGCTTACAGCTTCTAGTGCTCATAGAATTAGAATATATTTATATTCTGTGTATGGCCAGGATTAAGTAGTGAGGAGCTCTTCTGTGAGGACTGAGTATATTGTTTCCCCTTTCTCCCTTGGGCTCTCAGTGAGGATCAGTTTGCTGATCCTGGTTTCTGTTAATCCCCCTTGAGGTGGGTGGATGGCCTTGTGAGCATATAGCCCCCCTGCGCCACAGCAGGTTCATGTAACAGCATTATGTGATATTCTGAACGTCATTTAATTGGCAAGGAGAACAGCAGCTGGGAGGCTTAGAACCTGGTCTCCATGGTTTGGTGCCTCTCTTAATTCCACCATCATTTAAAGGAAAACCACACGAGTCCCAAATTTGTACGTTTCCTGTTGTTGATTTGGCAGCTGTTTACATCGCACTAACATTTATAAAATCCTGGATGTTGCAACAGGAAATCCTCGCTGGGAAAACAAGCTGAACCCCCTGTGTTTAGCCAGATGATCCGTTGTGGGCAATGACTCAACGCCGCTGAACCCTGAAAGATAATAGTTGTTGACTAATAGAGGAGGGTGACAGTGTGGGGGCAGAAGAAGGTGAGGGATGGGGCGAGTCTAGGAGGGAGGGTTGGAAGTGAGGGATGAAGAAGGTGCAGAAAGTCTCTGCAGTGAGCTAGAACAGGAGCACTGTGGGGGATAAGAAGGGGTTCTACTGGAAAGGCCAGGGCTCTCTGCTTGTGATCTGAGTGCTGGATGGACAGCCTCGGAAAAGGAAGTTACTGCCTATCGCGGCAGGACTGGTTAGACTTTCCAGGCTGTGGGGCCCCCAAGACTGCAGGTTTGACTGCAAGTCCATGGAGGCCCCAGCTACCTTCTGGGCTGGTTATAATGTAGCGTGATAAGTGTATAGGCTCCTCTGCTGTGTAGTGTAGAGGAGAAAAAGCTCTGAGTTGATTTGTTGCTCCTTGATGATACCCCGATTACCCAGGGATCTCAGGTTATCTCCCTCTTAATTGTTGGGCTACGTTAGGTTTTCTCCTTCTCTTGTGTAACAGAAACCTCCTTCACTTACCCCCTAAATCCTGTCCACACTCATCCCAGTTTTCGGCATGTTCCCTGTTCTTCTCCATGGCTTCTTGCAATGGGAGTGATTTCCCCATCCCTGGCTGGCATGGCATAGGAGTTCGGTGCAGGTGGGGAGACCATCTTGAACCTAGCATCTGGCGACCCTCCATCATTTTGGTACCCAGAATAACCCCTCCTTCCATTTCTAATGCAGTTAATAGGCTCTGGACATGTGCTAGGGTGCATGCCAGGGTTGAAGCTTGCAATGAAATTTGTCTTACTCTTTACTGTCATGTGCAGACAGGAGAAAGGTCCACTAGAACTGGCTGACTGTCTACTCTTCCTCCAGTGCCATGGAGAAAGAGTTGCTCTGCGGTGACCTCTTGAGCCCCCAGAGGAATCAGGATAATTCTCCTTTTATTGTGTTTTGGCAAGGGGCATTTTCTCCCCCTTATCACCTGAAATCTCCCTTACTTCCTTCACAAAAGCATCCAATCCAGACATGTCTAATCGTGCCTTCACTCGTCTGATTCTCCAGGAAGCTGACTTAGCGTAGATGAATGGGAGAAGATCAGGCACTGTATTTTCACACCTTGCAACCTGCACGCCCTTGTGACTTCCCAGGACACAACAGGCTTCCTTGAACTGGCCCTCCGTCCAGTCCCCAGCCTGTCTCCTTAGAACAATGCTAAGTATAATTGCAGTCTATGGATAGTCTAACTGGGACAAGCAGACTGTAGATCACAGAATGGAAAAATACCAAATAACTTTCCCAGCTTTGTAAACTGTTTGGACGCATAGCATTTTACTTACACTGAACCGTTATTCCTCTATTTTCAGATGAGTTTTTCCATCACCCTTTCTTGGATGCAAGTGCCTCTATGAAAAAATGTAAGTGTTAATATTTTTATTAAAACTTCAACAAGCCATGATTTACCTTCCCCTAATCCCTAAGCCCCCAAAGAGAGAGCTGTCTCTAAATCCTTTTGGTTATTTGAGCATTGACTTGGGCTTCAACACTGGATTGAGTTCAAGATCTCTGGATTTTGCAGCTGAAATGTATTTGAATCTGCTGAATTATCTGCAAAAGTTGGATTTCCTTGGTCTGTTTAAGGACCTAAAGTGGAAGTCAATCTAGCTTTTGTGTGTGTGTGTGTGTGTGTGTGTGTGTGTGTGTGTGTGTGTGTGT